AATGATTATGAATGAATGCTTATGGCTGTTTACAGATGTTGTCATTTTTAGCTGATTAACCATATCTCGATAGTTTTGGAATTGATCTTTTCTACTCTATGAAATTGCTTCGTGTTTTTTGCCTTTTTGCACGTCAGACTTTTGAGGGTTTTGTGAGTACAAAGTGCTGTAAACTGAGCGCCAACACAAAATCTCATTTGAGCATTTGTCTCCTGTCAGAATGTCAGAGGTCTGAGATGTAAGTTCGCTCAGCCACTTGAACATTAGTTTCCTCCTTTTGCCACATGCAGCAGTGAACATCCAGACCCTTCTCACAGTGTCGGAGCGTTCCCCAGCAGCTCAGACAGCCTTGGAGAGGCTAAGTTTTTTGAAGCTTCAGCTAGACACTTCTAGTTATTCCAAATGCAGAAGAAATGCATAAGTGTTCTGGTAAATATGAGGATGACACAGTTCACAGATTCTCTATATTAATTTTGCTTACCACAGCTTTTTTGACATAGGCTGGTCACGCTGTCACACTCATTCTGCCTCCCTTGCATGCCTTGCAGCAACAGCGTAAGAGACTCTGAGTGTTGCTAAGGCTTAGCTGTTGATTGTTTATAACTGAAGAGGTGAGGATGAAGATTTTAGGTGGGTGGGGGGTTAGATTACTAAGTAATATATAATAAAACCAATGTTTCTACAAACCGTTGTGTGAGTCTTTAGTCTGCCTTATGTTGCAGCTTTTGAGCCTGGGTCGTAATAATAACTTCTCATCTAATAAACAGTACATTTGTACATAAATATAAAAATACTTACTGTATCTGTGTATGTATCAGTTAAGCCTTGCTGTATCATGGCAAGTTAGAACAATTCTTTGTAAAATAAAGAGCACAGATTCACTACTGGGAACTCAAGTCAGTCTGATCCAATAGCTCAACTGTGCGGTCTCTGGAGGACTGTTTTTGAGACCAAATATAAACTTCTGTTCTGTGCTCAACAATCAAATAGGCTTCAACACACTTCTGGGACAAGAAATACTTATGTAGTCTCACGAGACCTGTTTTACATATACATCTGGGGACGACTGCGCACGGGCTTCTATTTAAATAAGTTCTTGGCCTTCTTTTCAGCCATCTAATCAAGGACTGATTAAGGACCAGAATACTAAGAAAAATGCGATGAGCTTCAATTAAGGAGTTGATGGAACAGAAAAGCAGCCTGTAGCCCAAGCGCCAGGCACCGGATTGAGAAGCATTGCTGTAGTGCATTTGGCTCTAAGCACCTCTTGTCCTCAGAGCAGCTACACATCTTGTGTAGAAAATGCCAGAGTCCCATCTGGGATTATTTTGAGCTAAATGGTCTGAATTCAGATTGCTGCCGAGTCTTTTATTTGTGCAAGTGGTAGTCATGGCCTCATTATACATTTAAATCTCACCCCAGCAAAGTCACTAACTAAATGAAACTGCAAAACGAATGTGGGCACAGAAAAAAAAAATTACTCACACAGCAAACAGGCCCTATCAATGAGGCCTAATGGGAAGCCATGCAACAGTTTTATAGCATAGTGTAAGGGAAAGAAAGTAGGTGGAAACTGGAATTGTAGATGGGCAGCTGGCCATTTGGGCTTCCGTTGCTTCCGTTGTATTTGAGTGTCTTTTTTCTTCTTTAACAGTGGGTCTGTTTTTCACTCCCAAAATACAACTAGAAAATCAGTTCATACCACCACTGAATGTTTGGTGGTAAACTTAATTATCCTCACCGCATGCACACGCAGTGCTCTGATCTCCAGCAGCAGCAGCAGCAACACAGTGTCTTCTCACTCTGCTCTGGAGAGCAGGGCAGACAGCTTTATAATCGTAGTGGGGCCATAAAGAAAAGGAGTAGGAGTAGGAGGTCTGATATTGTGGCTTTATAAATTAAAATAAATTAAAATAAATTAACTTATCATTGATGTGAACTGGTGACTCATGCAGATTTAAGCAGGTTACTTCCCCAAAGCAAACGGAGCCTAATATCCGACAAAACTGTCGACTCTTTGTGCTCTCTGTCACATCTGGAGTCTTGCAAACAGGGTGGAAGAGCTAAGCATGTGTCTATAAGTGTGTTGAGAGGTTTTCCACGAGAAAAGTCGATGATAACTATTTGAAAACGACACAGAATGGCCAAGAGACTTCCGGACATTTCTACCATAAACAGAAAGAGCAGAAAGGGTACAGAGTGGTGCATAAAAATTCACCAGAATGTAGGTAATGAAAAGTCTGATGCTCAAATTGTCCTGGGGGAGGACCTCTTGACCCCCCTTCCCCCCCACCCACACACACACTGAATGTTTCCACCCCAGCGCTCTGACAAAAGAAACACACACACACGCGTAAACACACACAAACACACCAAAAAATCTGTTTCTTGCTGGAGATAAGCAAAGCTGCTGAAAGTAAATAGACTGATGGATGATGTGAGGACATATTAATGAAGTAGCAATATCTTTCAGTTAATTGCAGGGCTGACAATGATTTGTGTGGCTTGATTTCGAGGCGATGATGCCAGCACTTCCTCAGTAAACAGTCACTCCAGCTGAGGCATCATGCAGTAGTTGGATGTGGTGTTTTGTGTCAAATGTCCATTTATATAGATTCTGCTTTCCATTCGGGGGGGGTTTTCCTCCCATGAGAATAACACACAGTTCAAGATGAAAACGACCAGGGTGCCATGAGATGCCTGCAAATGTCATCGTCATAGGAGACAGGTCTGCAGAAACACACCACAAGCTACTGTATTTGATTACTGACAGAGGAGATAGAACAGGAAGTGGCCGGGCGGTGTTGTAGAACCGCCGCAAGACGGGGTGAGCCGTAAATGAAGCGCTGAAAGCTTCAATGAAATGCTTGGCACTAAATGGTGAAGGTAATTAACGCTAATAAGGATCAGATGATGGCAAGTCGATGCGTTCTGTTTCCTGCCCAAACTCGCGGAAGGTTTCATCTCTAAATACCCCGCTTCCTCACATTTAACGCACCACGCACACGCTCCTGCTTTATGAATGGTGATGGAATGGAGTGTTCATTTACTTAAGCAGCTGCTCAAGGATGCCACAAGGGGGCTCCGCACTTGGTTAGTTACAGTGATGATCTAATCTGACAGGGCAATGCACACATCTGCAAGAACACAACACCCTGCTCCATCTTCATGACAGCAAAGCCATCAGGTTCCACAAATCACTTGTTTACCGGAGCCTCTGAAAACCTGTGCACCTGTGGCTCAGACCTGGCTACATATACACACACATCCACACGGCGTAATGGAAAGTGAGCCACCTTTGCCTGAATTTTCAGTATGAGATCATTATTGTAGAAAAAACACAGCATGGAGACTCATATTCGAGAATACGAAATGTCTAAAAGGTCACACTCATTAGGTGCGGCAAAGGGTTGGATGTAACAATGAGACAGCTTAACAACATATTCATATTGGCTATGTACATTCACATCCTTCACATGGGATGCTGAGAGCAGACTTTTAGGCCAGCAGCACCTCTTGAGGCACAAGTGCCACATTCAGGGTGACCCCAGAAGCTGTTGTTATCAAGCAATGAGAGTTACTAAATTGCGACTAAACTATGGACAGTGACTCCTCTTTAAATGACACAAAACATGTCAAATCTATTTTTAAATACACTGTGGTCCTATTTCTGCATACCCCCCCCCCCAAAAGAAAAAAAGGCTGATTCATCTTTGTCCGACTAATTAAGAAAAGCAGCCCAGACGCACACACACACCTCAGTGTCGGTCTTTCCAGAGTTTATAATTATTAGCTGGAGGACATGATTATGCCGGCTCAAGGAATTTTTGGGGGGAGGGAAATAAGGCGAACTATAAAGCACTTGGTAACTGCAGAAAGCATGGAAATGGCACATTGTGCTCAATTCATTTTATCGCCGTGGGAAAGAAGTGAAGCAGATGTGAAATGTTCTCGGCTGGTCCCCTTTTATGCGAGGCGTCGACTCTTACGCGCACATAAAACAAACAAACAAGCTTCCGCGGCTTGTGGCGTCCGTGATGTAGACACCCGAGTGGGGAACGTTATAGCTCTGGGATGCGTGGCTGAGAAGCAGCCTGGATCCTGTACCAGCGCTCTCTCTCCTCAGCTCACATGCTCCTTTGAAGAACTGGCCAGCACCTCTCTCTCCTTCTCCTTCCCCTCGCCCACAGCAGCTCCCAGCAAATCAAGTTTATTACAGCCTCTAATTACAATTACAGTCTCGAAGGGCTTCACAATGAAACAATAAATGAAAATGATAAATGAAAAAGGCACACCACCCCAACCTTAGACCCCCAGTGAGAGCGGGGAGAAAAGCCTTTCAACGAAACCTAATTAGGGACAAGATGCGAGATGCCTTAGGCTGGACCACACAGCGAGGAATTCCCCTCTTTCCAGGAAAGCAGTGGTGGATGTAGTGAAAGTTTGTGTAGTGTATTTCGTTTAAAAAATAATAATAATAACAATTTGTTGACTTGGTGTTGCACTGTTTCCATTTTGCACAGTTGATGTAAGCAACAGATAGTAGATGAAGACTGACAGGAGGCACAATTTGTGGTCTTTTTTATTGACAGAAATACAGAAGTGTGCGGATTTGTACTGTGAACTGTGAAAAAAAAGGTTCTTATATCGCCTGCAGACTTAAAATGCAGGCTTCACTGGCAGGTCACTTGCAGCAGTTTTGTCTGTTCTTGACAGATTTGTGTATGGCACGGCACACCCGGGAGTTGCAGAGTACAAGAGCAGTCTTGTACTATTTGCTGCTGACTGAGCAGAGGTTAGAGGTGGCATTACGCGCCATGCAAAAAGGGCACTTTGTTCAAACAGAGGTTGAGACGTCTTGTGTTCCTACTGCCTTGCCCAGATTTTTCCCATCTCCACTCCTTGATCAGACCACAACATCCCCCCTCCAAGGTCACAGAGTGGGGATGATCTGCTCCCATTTCCTACCACTGCAATGACTCAGATGAGATTGCTGTATCACTGTCAGCAGCAGCTCTTAGGCTTGGCATCTCTTGTCTGTCGCGGTTGGACCTTGGGCACCTGCGTCAGTGCTCAATCCGCCGGAGTAAGTGGGCCCACTCACTGCTGCCTCTCGCCTGGGAGGTTGCTGTGCAATAACTGCACAAGAGGGGCGGTGGGGGGCGGTGTGTGTTTTGGGGGGCTGGGGGGGAGAGCCCCCTTCCAGCTGTCGGGAAGATCAGTGACGAGCTGATCAGTTAACAGTGAGCCCTCCCGCAAACATCCACGCGGGATTTGATCAGCGCGACAGATCACCCCTCCTAAACCAGCCCCCGGGTTCAAGGTTTGCCCCTCCCGCCCAGCGCCAATCTGAGATGGGCAGAAGGAGGGGGCGGGAAGGTTAGTTTGAAGAGGGCAGAGCTCTGCGAGAGGACGCCGCTTCCCCCCGTTATTTCACCGCTGGATTAAAAAAAAGAAAGAAAGAGAAAAATTATCCAAATCCAGTGGCCGGTAACAGCTGAGGGAGAAATCAGTCGGACCAAACGGCAGAACCTCATCAACTCCAAGGAAAGCCAGGAGTGAGAGAGAGAGAAGACACACACACACACACACAACAGCAGGAACATCATCCTCATTGCTGCTGGTGAGACTGTTGTTATTTTTCTTATTATTAGTCATTACCTCTGCTGTGTCTTCTGTGATGCGATTTTTTTCCTTCTTCTTCTTCTTGTTAAGATCTCGCACACGTCGCCGGCAGGATAATTGCCGGAGACGGTTGCAAATGGGCTCAGCGGCAATGTTTCATTCACATGCAACAACTGCTGTTTGTGTAGCTACCGCAGTATAATTGATGGTTTAACAGGTCTCCCCTCGCATGCTGAAGTGGAAAGGATGCACGGTGAGGGGGATGCGGGGCTTGCATGCGACTAGCTCTGGCTCTGCTCAACCAAGACGATTTCGCCCGCGAATTAAAGTAGTAAGCAACAAATGTGAGGGGGTTGTTTTTGTGGACATACACCTGTCACAGGGGTGGTTGAATTTTATTTATTTGTTTGTTTATTTAAAAGCTTAGGTCGACTTCTAAGGACAGTCAAAATAGCAGCACAATGCGACACTACTGCTTGAGCGGCTGTTACTTTCCCTTAATGGGCAATTAGCGGTGAAGACGCGCGAGACGTTTCTGGTAATGATTAAAAAAAAGAAGGAAAAAAAAAGCCGCACCTGCACAGGAACTCCGGGCTCGTGCTTTGACCCCGCGTGCTGGGAATCGTGTTCGGAACGAGCTACCGCAACCTGTGACAAGACTGTTGAGCACAGGCTAACTTAACCTTGGATTAAAAACCGTCTTCCATTAAAGCGAAGGGTCTCAACTCCACCGCCAGTGAAATAAACACCACTGCGGTTTGTCTTTTATTAATATCAGTATTTTTTTTTTTCTTTAATTCACCGGGACTGACAAGTTTACCAAAAAAAAAAGCAGATTAAGAGATGACGACAGTGGAAAAACAGTTCCATGTGCATGCGCGTTTTTTATTTCTTATTTAAACGATTTTCTTGCTCTTAATCATTTAAATTCGGCGTAGTTGTGTGCTTTTGCCGTAGCGCAACACGAGAGGGAACACGACTATCTCTTTCGTCATCCTCTCTGTCAGTTAGCCACGCGTGGTGTAGCTTATGGAGTGTCAGTGGGCGCACATGCTGAGCGATGTCCAGCTGGAATGATGCAAATGTAATAATGACATGAGCTTCCCAAGTGCACAAGTAAATCCAGCAATCCCAGCCCCTCTTTAAAATCATGTGAAATTGGGTCAACACACACAAACAAGACACAATTAGAGAATTTGCATCTCCTGTTTGTTTGCTGCCTGAGACAAGGGTGACAACAAATGGTATCCATGCTGTCAGAGTGCTGAATGGAGTCCCTGACAGGGTAGTCCTTTGGTTCTGATCTTTTCCTTTTTTGTAATAGACAGTGTGGCACCTTTTCAGACATCTGCTCCTGCATGTCTTTTTTTTTTAGTGTCACGGTGAAAAGGTTAACAAGCAGGCTCCATATGCAGACACACGTCAGGAAGAGCTGTGGTACACCTGCATGAATCCTTGCATTCATCTTTTCCACGCTTGAATCCAGCCTGTGTCAGAGGCCAGGAGCTGGTTTTAATTGCCAGACCTGGGAGGCGTCGCTCAAGCACAGCACTGAATGGTGCTCATCCTTTCCCTCCCTCACCCTGATGTTGCCACGTTTTTTCAGGCGTTTGCTCCTCTGCAACATCATGCATGAATGTTTTTTTTCTTCCTACCACACCTCATGTTTTGATCTGATGCACAGTCATCCGGCTCTCAGTCTTGCACGCTACAGGGCTCGTAATGCGATGACGCCCGTGAGTGTGACCACAAGTAAATGACTTTTCTCAGCCAGTTTCTTCATCTGTTGAGACATACGGAGAGAGAGTCTCCGCACACACACAGAACCCTTTTCGCAGTGCATGGGTGTGTGGTGAAAAAGGAAGTAAACTCAGATTTATTGTCCAGCAGGGAATGTGTCAGCCAGAGCAGATTTTGTTTGAAGGAGAAGGTGCTGTCTCATCCGAGAGCTACAGATGGATGTGCCGTGCTTGTGTGAGACTTGTGTGAACCCGTCGCATCTGAAGTGATTAGAGAATCTGTTTTGTAATTGCTATTGTTGGGATTCAGCGTGCAGATGCAGGCAAATAAAAGACAGAGGCAGACTGTTGCAGGGATTTGCATTATTGTTACTCGAGGCACCGTAAGACGTGATGCAGTAAAAATGCAAAGTATCTTGAGTGATTAGAAAATAAATGGGGGTAATGGCTCCCAGGGAAAAGTAGTATAAGTGTTTATATTTATATATATGTATATACATATATATACATATATATACATATATAATTGTGAGTTTGTATTTTGTGAGCAGAAAGAAAATAATTCCTGCATAAATAATGGCGTTACCCTCCACTTCACTGAATTTCCGTACAAGTTAGTCTTGTTTTTGAGATGGCAGTGTGTTCTGAGGTTCCACCACACAGGTCAAGTGGGCACAGGAGTCAGGCATGATGCAACGCTCAGAGAATGATAATGATAACAGCTGACAAGAGGTAATCATCAGAGCCATCCACATACACCGAAACCTCGACCAGGACAGTGTCAGTCACGACCAATAAGCTCTGAGGGGAAATTTTACAGCTTGGCTCCACAGAGTGACAGTGATGATGAGAGGTGGAGCAAAGCAGGACCATGGGAAGGCAGAGCAGGGTTAGCACACAGATTCTGGATGCTCTCCTCATCCAGGAAAAGCCTAATGTTGTTGTTTTCGATGAAGTCAAGAAATGCAGTATGTTGAAGCTGCTGACTTCTTTTGTCTTAACTTTCTTTTTCTTTGTCTGCATACTTGGAGCTTCCAAGAATTGCACTTGCCTTAGTCTTTTTCCCTTAATGTGAGATCCAATCATTTCCCCATTTCTGTGCACGAGAGACGATTAATCACAGAAGCTCCGTTCACACAGGAATAACGTTACCACCAGACGCCCGCTGATTTATGCTAATTCCCATGATTGTCACTGATTTTCACCCTGCGAGCAGTTGCTCCTTTAAATGTAGTTTATGTTAAAGCCTCCGCCAGTGCGGTGACTTTTATTACTGTATTTTTGGCTGAGACAGAACAGTCCTGACGAGGATGATCATGTGTGGAACGCAAATCCCAGTCATTTATTTAGGAAGTAGAGAACCGCCTGCCAAGGCTGCATAAAGCATTTTCAACAAGTGCATTATGAGCAGAGCAAATTATCATCTGCTGTTTGATAAAAGACTGCAGGAGCCCGAACTGTAGTTGCGCAACGCGCCAACAACAATTCCAACTTTTCTTGTTAGATCATCAGAGGTCAGACATGATGTTTTATTTTTTGGATGATTTCTTTTTCTTTCAATTCAGCCGTTTTTCATAAAGGCTAAGATAACCTTTAGACGAACATTCAGCATGTTGCAGGATTCGGTACACTTCTATCTTTAATGAATTCATTATTTTTTTCAGTGTTTCCAGCTGAATGGATTTGTACTGGTGGGGTGGGGTGGTGGATATAGATGTACGCACAACAAATCAATATAATCAGCTGCCTCTCCAGTGAGTCTCTTATCTTGTGGATGGACTCCACCTCCACCATGTTGGACTGCAGCTGGTGATGATATTCGCCACAGTTCACCCATCTGCTGCAGGTTGGCCTTAAAGTGGCTCTCCAACTATGAGTGGAGGATCGCTATCACCAGCTGCAGTCAAAGATGCTGAAGTTGGAGTATGTTTCTCTGAGGAAATATTCGAATGATATCAGGACAGCTGCAACAGCAACCCGGCCAACAAGACAGAGAAAATACTAAAAACACAAAACATTCAAATGAGTGATCTTTAATTTATCTGAGCAGTGCACCCAAATGAAGTCTGTGTCAGGCACACAGTTACAGTTAAATGAAACGTTCTTCAGCTTTGGAGTCTCTATATAATCTGTATGCTGTAATCCCTGGAATAAAATTGTCATTTAAGGACTTGAATGCATAAGAAGCTGAAGGTTGTATAACATATAGCGTCACCTTGCTCTGACTTATTTTCACCCACTCTTCAAAACCCCACGCGTCTTTCACACTGTCAATGACCTTTAAGATTGACAGTCAAATCTTTCAAATGTCAGAATCTTCTAAGAGCCTAAAGCTTCATATTGGGACCGCCTGTTCCTGAGAGGCAGACTGTCTTTGCAGGTCCTGAGATACTCATAAAATGTCAGCGATTGTTATAGACATTCAGGATCTGAAATGGTGTTTAAAGAAGGATACTTTCTTTCTTTATAACTTTAAAAATGCGTGTGTCCGCTAAGAAATTACCTAAGTCATGCATTTATTTCATCATCTATCAGTGGAAGGGATTTAAAGTATTAAATCGGGGCTTTTGATCGAGGCTGGCAGTCGACTAAAAGGTATTTTTGGCTTTTTAAAGCAAAGACATTGAGTAGCCTGATTTTTGGTTATGATCCAGATAAGCTGAGAAACATTGCTTAAAGGTTATTGGCAAAGACGGCAAGTGTACTTTTCATGAATCAAGGTGCTTGGTAAAAAATGCAGTGAAGTGTAATGTGTGCAGAGGGAGTGGAGGCACACGGGCAAAGATTTACATGACTACATAAATTTCTTGCACACTAGTTCTTGTCTCCTGTCGTGCATGTATGGAATTTAAACCACACACTTAGAGACACAGAAATAATTCAGCCCCAGTCATCTCTGCCACAGGTCTGCCTTGATTGCAATTATAAGTGTGATGCTTCAGGTACCGCTTTTGTCACACACGCTTCCATGAAGCTACACCATCAATGCAGCTGTTGCCCTGGTAACATAGTGTTTTCGGCTGAAGATAGTGGGGATTATTGGGAACCAAAGGTCCTGAGGGGTGAGAGAGAGATGCTTTAATTGTCTCTTCTTTCTTTCTTTCTTTCTTTCTTTCTTTCTTTCTTTCTTTCTTTCTTTCTTTCTTTCTTTCTTTTAAGTATTATATTTAAGTATTTGACTATTTTTTTACTGTATCAAGTGGGACTGTGTGTGGAACATCAAGATACAAGAGATCAATGTGAGGGGCATGCACGTTTG